GGAAAGAGAGAAACATCAATCGCCTTCCCCCTGCACACCTCCTACTGGGAACTGAGCCCATAACCCAGGCATGTGCCCTGGCAGGGAATAGAACTGGCGAACTCTCAGGACATAGGATGATGCTCAACCAACTGAGCCAGCTAGGCTTCTTCTTTTGTCTGTTATGAACAGTTGTTTTTGTAATGAGGAGGCTGAAAGAAACAGGTTTTTACTCCCATGTTACTGGTCAGCTCAACAAGGGAGAGAAGTCAACAGGCTGCTGTCTACCAAAAGGAGGCCATTTTAGCAAACTGTGAAAACAGACATAAGTCTGAAGGGACAAGGGAAGACATTTTAGAATAAGAAAAAAAAGTAGCCAAAATTAGAAGCAAATCAGCAGCAAATTACCTTGGGAGGTAGGTGGGAGAGATAACACTGGAGATGAATACTCAAAGCCCTGATGTACGAGAAACAAGAAGCACAAGACAGACATGTACCTCCTCAGACTTTAAAGATGCTCTCATAAGCCTCTCTACTTAATAGAGACAGAAATAGCCCCACGCACATCAAAACTGCAGTCCTTTAAGATATCTGTCATCTCTAGGTGGGGTGGCATGTCTCCACAAGGTAGAACTCTGAAGCCTGTTCATCAGCGTATATAGAAGCAGGGAGTGTGACATTTTAGCACAGAACTCATCCTGAAAGATAAGTCCCTAGTGAAAAGCAAGACAGAGAATATAGATCAGTTCATGACTAGAAATGGCAAAGCAAAGGAAACCTGATGATCAGTACAATACTAGTTCACGGTTCAAAGAAAAACTAGTTGAATCATGTAGACTCCAGGTCAGCGAAGCTGTTGAGTAGTGTTATATATACTACAAGCCCTTTTTATAAGCACACATTGATGTTGGTTGAGCGTTTTTCAGAAGAAAGGCCATAGAGGACTCTTGGCATAACCCAAAGTTCACTCAAAAGAAGCTAAAAATATTTGAGAGCCAGGTACACAGCTGACTAATCTGTACCTATTTTCTACAACAGACACACTATCAAAGGCTATCTGAAATAAGGGGAAAACTTTTCTTCACTCATTTATTACACCACCACAGCTTTTTGAAATCACTCCTGATGAATTCTATTGAATATTTCCAATGCTGAAAATGCAAGTCTACTTCAGTGATGCTTGCAATTTCTACCACAGCAGGCAACAACAGTAAATCAAGTTATTCTGATTGCAAGCAGAATTAGAACACATTGACTTATTATGCCTGTAGTAAAGCTACACATCTCCATAAAATAAAGCCTTAGCTTAGTCTAAAATATCACCCCAATAATATTGTTATAAGTATGTATGATGACAGATGGTTACTAGACTTGTGGTGATCACTTTGTAAGGTTTATAAATGTTAAATCACTATGCTGTATACCTGAAACTAATATAATATTATGTCAACTATAATTCAAAATAAATTTTTAAAAATGTTAAAGGGAAAAAGATATTGATTCCAATGAAAATTAAAAGTTATGCTGGAAAGGCTAAAAATAAATAAATAAATATCACCATCCTAGAGCTCTGAAAGATGCCACATGTTTTATCAGACACTTAATAATGTATAAAAGAATATATGGCCGAAACCGGTTTGGCTCAGTGGATAGAGCGTTGGCCTGCGGACTGAAAGGTCCCGGGTTCCATTCCGGCTAAGGGCATGTACCTGGGTTGCGGGCACATCCCCAGTGGGAGATGTGCAGGAGGCAGCTGATCGATGTTTCTCTCTCATCGATGTTTCTAACTATCTCTCTCCCTTCCTCTCTGTAAAAAATCAATAAAATATATTTTTTAAAAAAAAAGGATATATGAGCACCGACTTTCTCCAGATCTTCCTGTACTTTCAGAAAAAGGTAATTCTGAAGCCATGCACACAGCAAAGCTGCCTATAGCTCAACAAACACACATCGAGAAAGAAGAGGGCTCCTTCCTGGTCCCATGGAAGAGAGTTTTATTCCAAACAAACATTATAGGAGATGGATGTTTCATGAAAAAGGATTCTGCAAGCACTAAAGATGATTTCAGTATCATTGTTGCTTTAAAGATACAATCAATGATTAATACCTGGAATACTGTACTGAATGAAGTTCATGGAGAAAACTGTGGCCTAGAGATATGTCAACATAGTAGTTTAATGGAAATTATTTTTTAAACTATATTATGCAGGGAAGTAAAGTCTCCCTCCTAATAGCTGAAATTTTTGAGATGCATACACTTCATAAGCAAATTCTGTATAAGACAGAGAAGAGTAGTATGACCTTAAAAGGATATGCTCATAGTCTATATTAAAATAATAGAAATGATAGGTAGTGTTTCATATGATGACAAGTCAAAGAGTAGCAATGGTGATATTGAAAAAGACAAGTTCCTATAGTACAAAAAAAATTACTTGTGAGAAAACCACTTTATTTTTTGATTTGCTAATCAGTTCTCTAGGGAGGCCATGGTGTTGCACTGCTGAGGAGTGGGGAAGGAGATCGTGGTATTTGATTTTTTTCTGCTTTTGGTGAGAGAAAAACTGAGCAAAAAAAAATCACTGATATCAAAGACTTTTGAGAGAGAAAATTTAGAGCCTACTACAAGGCAAAATAGGATCAGTAACCACTCAGCCCTCTGAACAATATCAATCAATGTGTGTCTATAAATTATCTGAAAAAAATCTTATGTAATTATTTGCCCCTGGGTAAGACATGAGTTGCTGGGACTGGCATCACTGTGATCACTGAGGCATGCTGAGTCTGCGCACCTTCTTCTTCCTTCCTGTTACAATGAAAAAAACATGTGCCTTCTCCTCTCCATACTTCAAAGGCCAACACTGCTGGTGAGCTCCAACCCCATCTCTCTCGGTTGCTCAAAGGCTGTATTTTGTGGTTAAACTCTCAACACTGCTTCATCAAAGTCCCCTTCTAAAAGCAAGACATTCTCAATAATATAACATGTTTTATTAGGTCAAACTATAGGAAACTGACATTCTCGTAAGTCAAAAGTAGTCATATGTCACCAATTTCTTTTTTTTAATATATTTTATTGGGTTTTGGGGGTTTTTTTTACAGAGAGGAAGGGATAGGGGTAGAAAGTTAGAAACATCGATGAGAGAGAAACATCGGTCAGCTGCCTCCTGCACACTCCCTATTGGGTATGTGCCTGCAACCAAGGTACATGTCCTTGACCAGAATCGAACCTGGGACCTTGAGTCCACAGGCTGATGCTCTATCCACTGAGCCAAACTGGTTAGGGCTGTCACCAATTTCTTATGGTTTAACTTAACATCCTATCCTATCTTAAAAAAAAAAAAAGTCAAACTCCAGTGCTTTTCTTAGCCCTATATTCCCTTCCATGTCCTTATCCCCTTCATGGACATACTGGGGTTCTCAAGAGTCTACACTCATTATCCCCCTTCCTTACAAACTCCCACTCACTCACTTGCCCATTCCAATCAGTACCTGCCCACAACTCCACCAAAACTAGTCTTGAAAAGTATCCAAAAACTTCCATGTTGCCAAGCCTGATGAGCAAACAGTCTTCACCTTATTCATCATCACAAGAAGCATCTGGCACTCCTCCTTCCTGTAAACTGTTTCTTCATTA